AATGTGACATTTCCGCAGATACTCCATGGAAAAATATGTGTTTTCGCAAACGAGGCAAGCCATGAGGAATGCACCTACAAGGTGCCCTGTTGGTCGTTAAGCTGGTTGAATTTTTTGTAAACGATTGATTTATGACGTAACCAATGTTCGTGGCTGGATGGTAGATCCCATTGCGATGCCCCATCATTTACTGCACAGGTTTTCGTAATTACAATGTGGTGCCCCCAAGATAGCTAAGTCGGTTTATAACTCTTATAACTAGGACTTATGGTAGATATATCTATAGTTAATGAGATTATAAACCAACAAACATCACTAGGGGAGGCACCACCTTGTAGCAATAGTTTTCCTTGGAGTATTTATGGCCATAGATTTGGCCAACAAGCCCATCTTTCGTAGTCCAATATAGGATTTGACCCGCACACACACAGATAGATGTGTTTCAGCAATGATACGAGTGATATAACCACAAAAAAAGAACGTAGAAATCATGGGGATAAGTGGCAGTTTCCTAAAGACAATTGATTCCCACAAAATTCATTGTTGGAAAATAACTCATTATTGAGCTGAATTCCTCTTGAAATTTCCCAAGATACCAAAGGATAAACCTCCCTATTGTTGACCATTACTCCATTATTGTCATTCAAAGTCCAACCAACAAACAACTCCGGAACGGAAAAAAAATTGTCCCTTTCCACACTTCCAACCTCAAAAGAAAAAAATCTAAACCGCCATAAATCATCCCCAAAATCACCAATTTTTTGGGGGGTAATAGTTAATCACCATCTCCAGTCACGGTAATCGTTTATGGCCGGGTTTCTCACATGGCCAGGTTGCATCGAAAGGCGGGAAGGCCAGCAGGGGAAAATGGTCCATCTATTAGAAGTATTACTTAATATGGAAAATTGTGGAAATAGAATTATGGAAATAATCACATGTATATAGTATTATGTAATTCTATTCCAATTTCCATATTACATAATCCATTGTGGAAATAATTACAGACCATCATGGGACTTAAGATATAAAATGGATTAAATCCATCCATTCTGGAAATATTAATATATATATATATATTTATAGATATGTTTAATATATTAATATGTTTTTTCACTACAATGACTCAATCTCCTTTATGATATTGGTGACTTATCCTGGTGAGTTTTTCATAACTGATGTATATGGAGATGAACTAATCCATCAGGGGTAAACCCCACGATCAACCGGTAAAACCCTTCGTTCTCAACTATAGCTGGTTGGTGATTCACCAGCAACAAATAGGGATTTAATGAGATTTAATAGGGATTTATATTATAAATGGTATATGGTCCTGACTGGTTGGTGGTGACTGGAACCATGGAATTTTATGACTTTCCATTCAGTTGGGAATGGAATAATCATCCCAACTGACAAACTCCATCATTTTTCAGAGGGGTAGGTATACCACCAACCAGACTAGGTAACTAGACGATGCTCAAGTTGGTTTATAAGATCTGTAGATTTACAGACGGATTTCTGGTGGTACCATGTTAATTTCGCTACAGTTCAATGGGTAATAAACCACCTTAAGTCAAGTGTCGTTGGTGCATTGGATAGCCCGGGATGGTCGTATCAAAATCATCAAAGATAAAGATTCGATCAAGAAACATGGCGATTGAAGCAATATATGATAGGTTTCTGCTCATTTGGGTTTCTGGTGAGCATTTTGAACTAGTTAGATGGGCAATTGGGGCCCTCTTTGTAGCCTAAATGTGGATTTTCTAATTACCTAGATCTGGATGTTATCAATTATCAACCAAAGATGTGAGTGCAATCAACCAAAGATGTGGGCTTCACAGAGCAACAATATGGATATTAGCTAAGGAAAGATATGGATGTTAACAACCAAGAATGAGAATGTGATGTTACCCTCTGGTAATTTAACATAGCTATTGAAAATGTACCATAGAAATAGTTGATTTACCTATTCAAAATGGTGAGTTTCAATAGCTATGTTAGCGTACCGGAGGGTACCTAGCGAATACGGCGCCTTCAATGGTGATCTGAAAAAACAAAATTTTGGAGCAGCGGCTGCGATCTACCCCTGTTGGTTGATTCGTTGGGGGATGATTTTATCATATGTTATCCCTTTTTATCCTATATATTATATTTAGATATATAGATATATAGAAATATATATATATATTTAGATATATATATATATAGATATATATATATTTAGATATATATATATATAGATATATATAAATATATATACATATATATATATATATGAATATAGGTGTATATATATAGACACATATATATATATATAGTCATTGTGGATTAGTTCACCAACCCCACTGAACCCCACTGGGCCCGTTCTTTTCCTCAACAAAAAGTGGCTCCAAAAATCCCATGATTGGGTCAAAACAATCCTCCATTTTTTCCCTAGGCCAGGAGCATGGCCCTTCGGTATTTACAGGTGGCTTTCTGGAAAAACAACCATAGATGATGTTCCCGTTGAATCCTCCGTTTTCTTCAGGAATGTCCAATTTCTATAGAAATGAGGACACCGAATGGTAAAAACATGGTCAAAGAAGCGGCATGATTCAGATCTTTGGTGGATGAAGATGTTGTCCACGTTGAATCCGGGAACAGAGCTCGCGTCTTGTCATTCAATCGCCATGTTTTGGCTGCGAGATCCTCAAACGAAATGGAGAAGACTGAGAGTTGAGAAAATCAGCCTTGTGTCAACCTGTTTCAGGCAAGGAAATTTTCAAAGATGGGAGAACTTCAATCGTTTGCTCGAAATGGTGATAGAAGCAACCAGTGGTAAACGTTTACATAACTATGGAAAATCACCATTTTTTGTTGGGTAAATCAGCTATTTCTATGGGCCATGTTCAATAGCAAAGTGTTAAATTTCTGGTAGCCAGCTAATTGGAGGATCAAAAATATTGCGAAAAAAAGGCCATGTTTGGGATAATCCAACCTTCAGATGGCATAGCCAGGCTCTCAGGTGGAGTCATATGTCATCATCATACCGCTGTTCGTCACATGGAAAATCACCATTGACCCAGCTACATAGCATGGTGATTTTCCATAGTTATGTTATGTTAATCACTATTTGATGGGTAAAATCACCATTTTTCATGGGTAAAAATCACAACTGCTGAAGAAATACCCGTTTTTTTCGCCGGTTCCCCGATCGTTCAATGCTTCCACCATGCTTCCACCATGGGGATCTGCGGATGGCTGGCTGTGGCACTGGTGGCATTGGCAACAGCTGAGGTGGGAAACATGGGAGACCCATTTGGGACACATTTACAATGTGGTTTGCCCCCGTTGGATAGCTAAGTTGGTGAACATAACTCCAATAACTATGGTTTATGGTACGCAAATAACTATAGTTACTGGGGCGAATCTAAACCAACTTATAACTGGGGGGCCTCACATTGTACTGATAGTGGGATTGGTTGGTGGTTTGGAACACCATATATTGGGAATTTCATCATCCCAACTGACTTTCATATTTTTCAGAGGGGTAGGTCAACCACCAACCAGCTCATAATTTGAGATTATGTATTTCCATTTATGATTTAAGTTCTTGTATGGGAACTCATACTCTTGTTCGAACACTTTGTACTATTTGTACTCTGTTTTATACCATGAGTTTGCTTATTTCAACTCAGGATCTGAGTTCGTGCAGATTCACTTATCTTTGGTTTTTGGTTGAGTTCATGGTTTCATAGTATAACTAGGTCAATCTTACATGGATACTTTAATCCTTGAGTCTTTTGGTATTAATGGGAATATCTACTAACCAGCAAAGAATTTAATGTCTTGCAGGGTATCTAAGATTGGCAATGATAACAGCTCATGGTTTGAATTCGAGTAAGATTCCGAAATTACGTGTAGTCGCAGATGGGGCAAGTCTCAACTGCTCCTCTCCAGTTGGGATGACGGAAAGCCACAACTCGAAAGCGGTGGGTGACAGCACTTTTCAAGCTGTGTGCAGGAACTTCTGCGCCTCTATCGTGCGTACAAGGAGAGTCTTTTGGTGCTTCGGGATTTTTTGTTCCGCTCCTTCGAGTTTTTTTGTCCATTGAGCCACTTCATCAAGGTATATATAATTTGATCCATCTTCATCGCTTCTACCAGTGGTAGATGTACTTCCTGTGGGGCGAGATCAATTCCTGGCGGTTGGAGGTCGGTTGGCGATCGCAAAAAATCAACGAACCAGCTGAGACCGATCGCAAAGAAGAAGCGAAACGCAGATGGAGTCGCAGTCGGATTCTATCCTCGAGGATGAGTACCCTCTGGTAAACTAACGTAGCTATGGAAAATCACCATTTTTAATGGGAAAGCTCACATTTAATGGCAATTTTCAATAGCTATGTTAAATTACCAGAGGGTAAGAGATTTAGTATAGAAAATATGTGTAAACAATCAATGTAAAAAGAACGAAAAATATCATGTACATGTTTATGTCAAAAAATATAGACATGATAGTAATGATAGTTTCAGACATCTCTACAGGATCTTTCCCCATTCGAGTGTTTTTGTTGACTACAATATATTCCATTTAGGTTTGCCGAAAAATAGGGTACACCAGAATCCCATGACTAATTATTCCCTGTACAAACGTATTTTCAAACAGTCAATCCATTCGGATAGTGTTCCTTTCATTAAAAAGATGTTGTTGCTTAAAAACAATGTTCAATTTTTGGCTGGTTAAATAGCAAAGATATTGTGGTGAGCATCAACCCTCATTAATATTTTTGTGGTTGACTCCAACTTCCCGCAGTGGTTAATTTCCCGTGATGTATCCATGCATGAGTTAGAGGGATGAGCGAGAGATGCCGCGGGGAAAAAAGTCTTTGATGCCGCTAGTAACGACTTAGTAACATACCCATGTCTTCCCAGTTACTAAGCTATATGTGGGATATATCCATCCATATTATATTTTATTGTGCCCATATAATACCCATACTATACCCGTATTTTACCTATATTATACCTCGTTAGTGAACCCCCTTGTTGTTATACCTATAGTACAAATATATCCATTGAAGTAAGTATGGCAAAGCCCTCACTTGCGCACTTAGGATTTCACTCACTTGCGCACTTACCCTCACTTGCGCACTTCACCACAAAATTTCACTCACTTGCGCACTTAAACCCCGACAAGGGGGAGGGGGGAACATGGGGGGGAGTGGGGCGGGGTGCATTAGGGAACAAGGTGGGGAGGGGGGAGACAGGGGGGAGGGGGGGTTGCATATAGGGAACAGGGGGGGGAGGGGGAACAGGGGGTTGCATATAGGGGAACAAGGGGGGAGGGAACAAGGGGGAGGGGGGGGTTTGCATATAGGAACAAGGGCGGGGGGAACAAACGAAACCAAGTGGGGGCGGGGGGGGTGGGTCATCTGTGGGAACAAGTGGGGGAACAAAGGGGGGAAGTGGGGGTGTTTGGAATTTGACAAAGGTCCAACCCTTTTTTCTTTTGCGGCCTTGGTTCAGGGGTGTTGCCTAGGGCACCTGTTTATATGTTTTGTGGGTAGGTGTCGGCGGGGAAGGATAATATTTTGGATAAAACTATCCAAGGAATCGTGGAGTGTGAAGAGGTGTTCTATGCCTTTTTCCTCACTATTTTTGCTATAGAAGGTTAATGGTGTATGTTTTTAACCGATATAGTCTAAAGAGGAGGGGATGAAGTAACTCCGGGTCGCATCGTCTAATGTTTGGCATCCTCCCCAAAGTTTTGGAATCCCCCTTTGAATTAAGTGCGAGTGTTGGTCTCATAGATTTGAGTGTCAGATGTGTCTCATAGATTTAATGCTCAGCAAATGTGGAGGGGGTAAGAATTTTCAAAAAAAAAGAGAGTATTTCTTTATGTTATAATATATGTGGGAAGGGTTCATCATCATCTATACACCAATAAGGGTTGTTATGACTAACATTTCAACAACCAGGTTCAAATGCCTTTGACAGAATTTCTGTGTGAAAAACTCACAAGACAAGTTGCACATACAGCACAACAAGATACCAGTCAAACTTGACAGGCAAGACTTTTCAACCCTTAGATCAAACCCGTCTTGACGCAGCAGTTCCACATGTTTTTGCATTAACAATGCAAAACACCATTGGCCCCAACAATAATGCAAACATTTTTGTACCAAACAGGACGTGCATGTCTAAAACTAACACGTTACTGTGCCCCATGGCACAGGAGGCTGGCATCCGAATGGCATCGACAAGAAAATCATAAGTGCACAAGCGAGGAGAATCGCAAGTGCACAAGCGAGGCAAATCATAAGTGCACAACCGAGTGCTCGCCCTTGAAGTATCGCGTGTACTTTTATTTGGATGTTCACTAGAACGGAGGGTTAGCGTGTTTTGCTACTGTCATTTTGGGCTCAAGTCTTTGCCCATTTTGATTGTTGGATACTGACGAAATCGTCATAATGCCCATTTGCAATTGGGCGCTCATATTAGGGCTAGTTTCCAGTGTAGGTTCCCCTTCTGTGTATGGCCTGCCATGGTACCTGGATGTCTTTCATGGGATGACTGGATCTAGGGAGGAAGAAGTCACCAATGGGAAAGATCAACCCGAAGTATCAGAAGGTCAGTCCGATCCCACGAAGGAAAGTTCTCAATCTGGAATCCCGTTTGAAGGAATAGCCCATGTGTGGGGATACTCTGTCCTCCACTTTGATTTCCGTTCATGGATAGGCTCCTCATGGTTCAGCACACCAACAGCACCTGGAACCCTGAGCTCCTCAGGAGGGTGGGGATTGTACTTCTTGGATCAGCTGGGGGTGTGGACATGCGGAGATTTTTGGCCATGGGTTGCCAGATGTTTGTTAAGTGCCATCGTGGTTTTGGGAGCAATTTTGATTCTCTACTTGCTATTGGTTATCTGCCGGCCCTGTCAAGCTTTCTGCAAATGTTGCTGCAGACAGACCAGAGCAGTAGCCAAAGAGGTGGGGGAGCTCCTCCCCGAACTTAGACCTGGGGGCACATACGAAAGCTGGATATCCGTGGACCCGCCTCTAGCGGGGGCGTCGATTCCGAATTCTACCAACGAGGCGTCAAGGGTCGAGGTTCAGAAAGAAAACCCAATGACGTAGCTGTTGTGGTGAATGACCAAATAGCTCGCTTGAAGGTAGACGGGGATCATTGGGCACGTGTGGATCGATACGGGTTATGGGTTCGTCTCCGTGGAGTGAAGGGTTCCACGTCGAAAGCGCTTCGCCAAACGTTGGAACAGGAGGGGAAAATCCATCTCTGTCGCGAGCAGCGGTGTCCGCTTGAATTGCAACCAACACCCGGTCTACATTGCAAAGCTTACGCTTCGGTGGATGCCAATGGGCTGGTGGATTTGGGAGCTTATGCAGGGTGGTCCACCCGCAGGGTGATCGTCTTGATGGGTCGATGGCTACGTAGAATGGTGCGGGGGCTTAGTCTCTGCGTGTACTATCTGACGGGATGGTTCATTCTCAGACAACTCTGGGCAAAGCGGACGCCACCCAGAACCATAGTCGAAGGAGCCGTCGTCAGACCCTTGGATGCGGAATCTGAATCTGAAGTAGAGGTACAAGATGACCCTTGTGAGGCCGTATTAGTCGGTTTGGAACATGGAGGCAAACCGAGAGCATTGGCCACAGACCCATGTGCAGATCGGGCTATCGGAGAGCCGGTCCGGCTCCTGGAGAGGGACAGAGAACTCTCTGACGTCAAAAGGAGATCCTCCGTCAGGCTTTGCGACCATCATCGGCAGCTCTACGTGGCGGCATGTTCAAGCCGAAAATGCAGCGTGTTGGCTTGCTACGAACAGGTTGATGGTGCCAAACAGGGAGTTCCCCTCTGCAAGCACCACCTGACGGACCTTGGTGGTTGTGCTCGCCCTACCCGCAGGGTTAGCTGGACACATGAGAGAGATAGCTCCATTGCACGATCCGAGGCATCTATGTCCGAAGGAGAATGCCTCACCCCTGCACGAAGAAGCCGCCGGATCATCTTTGACGGCGCTGAACGACTTGGGCCCAGGGCTGCTTCGGCCGATCCTAGTGAATCCCAGAAGAAGATTGAAGGCAAGCTTGAGAAGGGCCCGTGCATGGTGCTCCTCAGACCAAAGTCATTACAAACCGCGGAGGCCCCACCCAGGTGGACTGCATGGTTGGGGCGCATCGAGGGGTTCGCCGAAGAAGGGCGCAGCCAGGAGCTGCTCGAAGTCCACATCCCTTCCTTGAAGCAAACGTGTGTGATCCACAGAAGGCTGTTGAAAGGGT